AATAATAGCTTTAAAATATTTTCCGTTTTAGAACGTTTTTGCAGCAAGTGATTTTGATGACTTTCTGGTGAATTCAAACACATGGACGGCGGCCACGCAGGAGACATTTCTGACGTGGGGTCTGCTGGGCGCCTCGGTGATAGCCATTACAAGTCGCACCCATGCGAATGCCAGCAAGGCGACGCTGCGACGCGATGCAATACTCCTCGTGCTGCTCACGCTGCTCGGCTTGAGTCTGGTGGCGCTTCTGGCGATGTGCTGTGAGCAGATTCTGCGGCAACACGGCTACATTTATGTGCCTGGTTCGTTTGGTATGATGAAAGACGCACCTATTGAAAATTGAAAATATTGGCTAATCGTGCGTTTTGTTCCGTTTGCAGAGACTCCGGATTCGTATACGTCCGTGTATTCGTTGCAGGCGCATACCAATCCGCAGCTGCTGTCCTATCCGCGTTCCCTGGTGCCGCACTACTCCTCGTTTCTGGGCGAGACCTATCGCAGGAACAAGACCATATTGCACATAGAAAGCGGCTTTCAGGCACTGCGCTTCATTACGGAGCTGCTGCCTGCCGTTCTGTCGCTGGCTAGCGATGCCGTGTCCTGGGTCTGGGCCGCGGTCGCATTTGGCATGTTCGCGGGCTTTGGCCTGGCGCAGCTATGCGTCATGTGGAAGCCCATTTCGAGCGCGCTGGGCAACTCGACGAGCTCCGTGCTGCTTAGTTGCGTGACTGGGATGCTGCTGAGCATTCCGTTCGCTACAGAAATGGGGATCTCCATATTGTATTATGTGGACTTCCTACTTGGCGGATCCTGGTTCATACCCATCATTTGGGCGGCGCAAATCTTTGGCGTGTTCCTCATACGCGGGCGCCCCTACAATGGAGACGATCTGGTCAACGATTTGCGCATGTGCGGCTCCATGTCTGCATTCCTGGCGCTCTCCTGGAATGTGCTGCTGCCAATTGGCCTGATCACTCTCTCAGTGATTGACTACAAGGCCTCGCTGTCCAACCAGTTCTATTACTGGCGCGGCAAGTCCTACTTCAGCTACTGGAGCCGCAAAATGGGTAGCCTCATACAAATTGGCATTGTGCTCATCATACCCGTCACAGCCATTGTGCAGATCTATCGCTACTTGACCAACGGTCCTCCAGATATACTCGAGGTGAGTCGATTTGGTTTCAGCTCAATGTGAATTCTCGTTTAACTCTTGCACTCCCTCATCCTTAGCGCATTCAACACCTGTATCGTCCGCCCGCGGAGGGCGATACTTTACGCCGCCCCTCCGCTCGCCAGCGTTCAGCCTTGGAGCGGCAAAATGCCACCGCCCAGCAGCAGGATAGAGCCCAACATGATGCACAAAATGATGCGCCGCCAAAGTACACGCCACCGCCATCCTACACTACAGCCACGGGAGCTCGGTTGGCCAAAATGTTGCGTCAGAGCATCAGACGCAGTGTGCGAAGGTAAGAAGGTTTAGGAAAATGGCTTTCAAAATGTTGATCAAGTTAGATTTTTTGTTACCAAGCACAATGCAAAATTTAATACTTCACAAGAAACCTGAGCTCGAGCCTATCGAATATATTGCTACTATATATTATTACTATATTCAGTTACTACTACTACTTTCATAATCTGCATTCATTAAAGCAGAACCTCTTGGTTGTAAAGATATATATAATATATATTATATACGTTTACAATTTTAAATTTATGAAGTTTTGACTTACATCAATATATTAACTTAAGCTGCAATTGTATAAATATATTTGGTTGAAACAATTTCGAACTGTGAAGTTATAACAAAATACAAATGTGCTGTAAACATAGTGTTTATACCCGACCCAAGACATAACAAAAGTAAAAACGTTGCAGTCGGGCGTTACCGACTGCGGAATACTCATTCACACCCCATAAGAAATGTAGTAGCTAAGTTTCGCTCTAATACTGTAGAAAATAAAGTTTTTCCCGATTTGCCACGCCCCTACTGGGCGTAGACACCTTATTTTTGGTCAGTTCTTAGAACGAGATAACGGTACCCTAACTGCAAAGTTTGAATGCTTACCCTCAAAAAATGTGAAAATTACAGGGTATTTTTCGATATGCCACGCCCATAAAGAGCCGTAATAATTATTTTTGGGTCATCTATAGAGGAGGTTACTGATAACTTAACTATCTAAATTTGAAGCGTCTAGTTATTATACTTAAGGAGATATAAACTTTTGCCGTTTGCCACGCCCCCTGTGCGAGGACATATATTCGACAAAGAATTTTGTTCTTGGGTGATCAGCCCGAGTATATACACAAAGTTTGAGGTCTCTGGCAACAATAGTGTTAAAAATATAGCAGAATTTTAAAAATCACTATATCTTCAGATCCGATTTGGCACGCCCCTAATGGGCGTAGACTTATAATTTTGTCTTTAGACTTTATAGAATCATAACATTAGCTGACGTGAAAAATTTCAGCGCTCTAGCTGTAAAACTCTTGGAGATACAGTTTTATCCGAATTGCCACGCCCCCAATGGGCGTAGATATATCCACCATAGCTCGTGGTCGATGCGGATTCGTATTCCAAATATCAGCTTTCTAGCTCTTCAATTAATATGATTTCTGGCATATCGGAAAATGCATTTTCCGATTTGCCACGCCCCTAGTGGG